AGCACTTTACGGTAGCACAGTTTAACGAGGTCCAATACCGCACACCCTCGGTCCCTACGCAGACTGATCCAAGTGGTCACCCACCCGCAAACTGACCACAGTGAGTGATGCTTGACTTCGGTGATCTGCTGGGAACCGTGTCTTAACGATCAGTCCACTGCGGGACTTTTAAATTTGAAAAATGCTTTTTATATTTGAATAGGCCGGCCAGGTGGCCGAGCGGTTAGCGTGCCTGACTGCGGAGCCAATGGTTGCGGGTTTGAATCTCGCTCTGGGCATGGATGTAACTTTCTCTCTCTTTCCGTTCTATGTCCTTTCTTCTGTGTGAATATAACCCGCCCTATAAACGGGTTTGTGGTTGTATGACGTGGGCGACACTACTCCACCGTCGTGGCTTAGCCATAGATGCTCACTGGGTAACGATAAGAAAGTAGCAATTCTGGCATTTCTGAGGCCAATGGGAAACAGACCCAAGTGCCCGCCATTAATAAAAGAAAATATTTCAATTATATGCAGGCTACTGGAAAGCCTGTTTAGAAGAGTGTAAGCTCTAATCCCAGAAAGCATGCAACCTTACGACAACCTTGTGTCAGAATTTTCTTTTCAATGTCAAGAAAATGTTTGTACTAAAAACCTTTTTTCAATAAAGCAAAAATATTGCAGTTTCAAACCTTTCATCCTAAAAGGGTTAAAAACTATTTTTGTAAAGCTTTTTTTAAAAATGTATTGTTACTGAGGTATATAATGATGTTTTTACTGACGTCACACTAGGATCAAATTGCATTGTCCATTAAAATTTCATGACAAGGTGGATTTTAGCTGAGCATACAAGACGTTGCGAAAAGAAACCTTATAATTATCTAGATTTAAGATTATTTTCACGTTAAGACTAGTTTAATTCAAGGATTTTTTCACGCTAAGACAACCTCGATTTAAGGTTTTTATATAGAAGGTTGTTTTCCAAGGTTTTGGATTAGGGTAATGTGAGTAGAATAGAGCAGATTGTGACAGATATCGTTTTAAGATTAGAAGGTTTTCACGTAAACCGCATAAAAACCTTTTTTGGTTTACATTAAAAGGCTGATTGAAAATAAATCTTATTTTGCTATCAGGGAATGATCTTTCGGTCTAAAATAATTGAATATGAATAAATCTCGTTTCTGTTTTCTACCACAGGTATCTTAATACTTACTGATAAATAGAGTGTATCTGAGCTCGCTAATAATGCAAGATAAATTTAATGGACAAGCATTTATAAGCAAACTTCCTAAAAGGATTCATATTTTTATTGGTTATTTCTAAAACCAGCATCAAAACACTTTGGAAAGAAAGCTGTTGCCAATACACATGCAGTTATCGATCAACGGCAAGAAACGTCCAATTTCCTAATGTGTCCCCGCAAATGATGGAACTCAAATGACTCCTAACATTTATTTTTGGCTACCGAGATGTGATTTGGTAAGAAAATTTAAAGTATCTCGGCTATCATTAAGCCACCTGATTTATAAACTTAACTTCCGAAAAGCAATCCAATAGGGAAACACTCTGCCATTAAGGAATTCTTATAGAATAAAAGTTCATTAAGTTTTCTAGGAATTTGTTTTTCTTGGACTAACGGAAGATTTGAAGTGCAATAATATTCTACCCCTTTCCCTCCGCCACCTGACCATTCTTCTATTTGCATAATCACTTTGGATCGAACGTGTATTTATACTATACCATTTACAGTAATGTTTTGAGGGCAACAGGTGGCATCACATCCTCAGTTAAGTGGATATGTAGAAAGCGTTTTTATTTTGATAAAAATATATATATATATATATATAGACATACTGCAATTAATTTGCTTTCGAACGGTAAAAAAATCTCGATTAAAATGCCAAATAAGAAATTAATTTCGTTTCTGTATTAATAATTCTGTATTATTTCCGTTCTGATAATAATTTCCCTGTATTAAAATTCAATTGATGCTAGAACTTCGAATGCCAATTTTTTTAACGTACTTTTCAAACGATTATAAGCTTATGAACTTTTCAAACGATTATTAACTTAAAAATACATCAAGTTTGTAACACTTTTTCTGAACCGTTAATTAAAATAGCGCCCTCTATAATATAAATGAATCGAAATGTTAATTTCTATGAAATTCAGTTTTAAGAGAATGAAAATCGTTTTCGTCGGTTTGTCAAACAATTTTTTTTTTTTTAATAATTAGAAGGTGAATCCAACGCTCTATTGTCTTGACTCTTAAAAAATTTGCCAAAATCGAGAACTGTTTATTTGTTTAAATTATATTAATAATCTCCTAACATTGGCGATTTTTTAGAAAAAGTTTAAAAACTTTTTTTTAAATTCTTAAGATATCTGATTTTAC